ATTACTTCCCTTCGCTCTCCGCCCTTTCCCTTTTTTCCATGACGTCTTTGCTCGGAGCTCGCTTGTAAAGCTCGTTTTGTTCCGTTCACACTGCCTGCCCCAGGGAGGAGGATCTGCCCGCCAGCCTAGCTGTGGCTGCTCAGGGTGGCCCTACCGTGGGCTCCAAGAGGCCGAAAGCCCCTGCAGAGCGCCACGAGGGGACCCCTGGGTGTTGGGGGCCTCGTGGAAATCTGGCCCAGGAGGCAGCATCCCCACCTGACCACATGGTCATATGAAACCATCACATCCCTTCTGGGCGGCGGCGTGGGGGTGGGGGGAGTCACAGGTGCCCCATCCTTACCCCCAAAGGGCACATTCTTTCCTTTCTTTCAAGATCATTTTATTGGGGGCTCTTCAAACTCTTGTTACAATCCATGCATCAGTTGTATCAGACCTATTAGTACATTGCCATTGTTCCTTTCTAGACATTTACTTTCCATTGAGCCCTTGGGATCAGTTCTTTTTTTTCCTTTTTACTTTTTTTCTCTGCCCCCCACCCCCGTGGCCCCTTGATAGATTGTTATTATTTTCATATCTCACAGTGACCGCTGTCTCCCTTCCCCTCTGGTTTCTGTTGTTCTTCTCCCTGGAGGGGGTGTGCACGGCGTGCACAGTCTTATGAAATCGTCCTGGGATGGCTTGCAGGTCGCTATGGTGCTGGGGGCTATAGGTCACTGGTTCTTCAGATGCCAGCAGGGTCTCCCCATGTGCACGGCGTGATTCAGCAGAGCTTCCAGATGTAGAACGGGCTCCCAAGAAGGAGGAATCAGCCACGGAAAACCTTATGGTCTTCTGTAGACACCTTTCATGCAGAAGAAGGTAAAAGCAGCACTCAAGAGTGACCATCTTTACACTTTGAGGGAAACGGCCCCTTTAATGGTCCAGGGGGCACTCATGGTTTGAAGAGCAACTCAGAGACTCCTTCAGCCTCTGTCGAGCCAGCGCATCTGGCTTCTTCAAGAAGGTGCAGATCTGTTCCCTATCACCTTCCTTTCTATGGGGATCCACGGACTGTGCCCCTGCTCAGAGTCTTTGGCGGTGGTGGTCGGGCACCACCTAGTCTTCCTGGTCTCATGGCTCACGAGAGGGTGAGCCCTGTTGTCAGGGTCCTTCTCTGCTTTGTGAACTTCCTTCCTTCTCGTTCACTGCAGACACATAGAGCCCGAGAGCTATATGTTCGATGGCTGCTTGGAAGCTGGAGGGAGACAAAAAGAAGCACAATATTAAAAAACGCCCATACAAAAACAACAAGCAATCAGTAGGAGATGGTGTAGAAGTTGTGAGGAGACTGTTGGGTTGCAATCCTGGGTACGTGACTTTCTGTGACGTTGGACTCGTCTCCTGGGCCTCAGTTTCCTAACCTGTAAAACAGGGATAACAGTACCTATTCCACAGGTACTTGCGTCCATCACAGCACGTGAGAGGTAGTGTTTCTTGTACTTGAGACCCTGAAGGTGCGCTCTTTCATTCTGATAGCTGAGTATTTATTTCAGTTGCATCAGAAGAACTGGGTTAGCACCCCAAAGCCCCAAATTATGCAGCTGATATTGCTCAGAGAGAGGCCAAGTGCACTGGGATTAGACAGTCCATTGCAGAAATACGTTCAGTCAAAGAACGCCTGGTCTGGTCACAACAGAGATGGACCGAAGTTACTTATGCAAGGTGGGGGGGGGGGAGATTAGCCAATAAGCCAGGTAAACACTGGCTCATTTCTGCTTACTTCCTACTCTGCAGTGAACAATTTCACATGCCATTGGGCAGACTCGGGCTCTACCGATCCACCTGTTGTGAGCAAGGTCGCATGTCTCCCAACCACCGGTTGAGCAGCATGACACTGTGCAGAACAAATGAGTCAGTGAGTCCACACTGACCTGGCCTCTTGGGTCCCCCATCCCAGTCAAGGATTGTGCATTTGGAAAGAGGCTTTGATACTGTAGGAAGGGACTGAACTTGTCCATCACAGAGTAGTAAGTAAGCACAAGTCAGCTAGTGCATACTGGGTCATCCGACACTGGTTCTAGAGCAGGGGTTCTTAGCCTGTTCCGTGCTGGAGGCCCCTCTGGCAACTGAACCCCTTCTCAGAATAAAGCTCAAAGCCTGTGGAGGGTTTCTGAGGCTGTGAGTCTTTACTGGAACAGACAGCCTTGTCTTCCTCCCAAGGAACGTCTGGTGGTCTTGAACCGCCGGCTGTGCAGTTACCAGTCCTAGGCTTACCCGACAGCGCCTCCAGGGCTCCTTCCTTCCCCAACTAGTGTGGTTTGATACATAATACAAAGCATACCCAGTACCTAGGAAACCAATCATATTGCAGTAGGAATATCAAAGTATCTTAAAAAATCGGGCTACAGTAAGTAATACGTGTACCCTGCAGATTACCTTACATGACAGGATCCAGTGGCAGGTGGGAACAGCTGCCCTTGTGAAGTAGTGATGGAAATCGGAAGTCAATTGAGGTGTGCACAGCAACTACGAGGCGATACGAAATGATTTGGTTCCTCTGGGTGGCGTTTGCTACAAACCCGTTACTGACAGTCGATCCTGACTCCCAGTGGCCCTTTGGGACAGAGTGGGAAGCCCCTGTGGACTTCCAAGCCATCATCACTATGGAAGCGGACTGCTACATTTGTCTCCCCTAGAGCGGCTGGCGATTTGGAACCAGTGACCTCTTGGCTAGCACCCAAGCACTTAACCATCTCCCCACCAGGGCTCACCAGTCACTGGGGCTGCTAAGATCATGGTGGCTCGTTGCCTGCCTCCGTTCCGTAATAGAAAGAAGGGCGGGTATGTCAACGAGAGGCCAATGGACTTTCCAATTGAAGTTCATCCCCTTACAATTCCCCTGGTTAAGATTCTCCAAGTGAGGGAGAGAGACTCCTGAGGAATGTATGGGCTGGGACCACCCCAAACCGTTTTGTAAAGAAATGACCATCATTTCTGGCGTGAACTGGGTCCCGCTGTCCCACTATCATCAGACGCAGTCAATTCTGAGCCCTGGCGGCGCTATGGGACAGAGTAGAACTGCCCATCGGATTTCCAAGGCCGGAGTCTTTCTGGGAGCAGACTTCCACCTCTTTCTCCCATGGAGCAGCTGCCCTTCATTCTGTTAGCGACTGAGCGCTTTAACCACAGAGCCACCAAGCTCTACTTTCCCATGCCCCATGTCCCAGGTACAACTTTCTAACGGGTGTCGTTATCAGTGGGTTCCCCCATGCACAGGTTGGGAGATGGAGGTTCAGAAAGGTTAGGTGCCACAGCAAGTAGACCGCAGGTCTGGCCTGGAGTGTGCAGCCTCCCTAATTCCAGCATCTTTAATTCCCTGGATGGACCCTTATTCTTAGATGCCCACGGGAAGTCAGGTCTTGGAGGGGCTCGGGAGGCAGGACTCTGGCTTCTCCAAAGATCCTCTGTCGCGTCCCCGTTTACAGACAAGGAAACGGAGGCTGGAATAGATGGTCTTCCTTCTCCGAGGTCACGGGGCTTCTTCACAGGGGCACTGCTTGGACCATGGGCTGGTGGGATGGAGAACGCCTCTCTGGGCATGAATGAAGATCAACACAAACAGCCCTGCTTCTCTGGGCCTACGCTGACCCTGGGAGCCGAGTCGGAGCCTGCTCTGCCTCCTCTGCCTGCGGTGACTCCCCCTGGGGGAGGACAGGGTGCTTTGTGTATCTCGTTCCTCCCTTCTAGTTGGCTCACCTCTCAAGCAGGGCTATGCTGTGTCTGTCAGCTGCTCCTATGCTTTTGTAGTGGCATGGTGCTTGAGGGGCAGAGGAGGGAGGGGAGCGATGAAAAGGCACCTGGAGGGGGTCCCATGTCACTTTGGGCTCTGGGACTGCCCCCCTCTACTTGTGGGGGGGTGTCTCCCCCCCGCACCCACCCCCTGCCCAAGTACTCATCCTTTGCAAGTACTCATCCTTTGACTCCATCTTTCTTCTTCTTTTTCAACACAGGACTAATTGTGTTCATAGGCTCTCGGTGCTGGGAAGCCAAGTGCTAACGGATAGGGATGGAGCCCTGGCGGTGCTGTGGCTCGGTTTAAACCCACCCTCGGGAGAAAGAAGGGGCTATCCCACCCCCAGAAGGATTGACACCTGACACCCGAAAGGGCAGCCCTGTCGGGTTGCTGGGACTCAGCCTCGACTCGCTGACAGTGGGTTTGGGTGGGTGGGTGGCACAGTGGTGGAGTGCTTGGCTGTTCACCCTCAAAGGTTGGTATTGTGCATTCTCCTGGAGGCTCTGCAGGAGAGAAGGCCTGGCTGTCCGCTCCCCTCCAGAATGCCCCGTCGAGGAAGCCATGCGGGGCAGTCTTGCTCAGTCCCTCGGGGCTCCTGTGAGTCAGACTCGGCTGGATGGCACCCACCCACAACAACAATAGCACCGATGTGCACCGAGGGGTCTTGGGTCTAAAGACGTTGCCATCATTCTACCCTCCAGAAGCAGCCAGGGCCCACCATCTCCTAACTTACATCAAGTGACGTGTCCTGCCTCTTCCGCAGCTTCCCATCAAAACTCACTACCATTCAGTGCCCCTGGGGGACAGAGCAGAGTCGTCCCTGTGTGTGTGTGTGTGTTTCCGAGGCTGTCAATCTTCACAGGAGCAGGCAGCCTCCTCTCTCTCTTAGGGGTTCAAACTGTTGGTCGTTTCAAACCACTGACCTTGAGCTTGGCAGACCCACCTGCAACCCACTATGCCGTCAGGGCTCCTGTGGTGGGGCACTTACAGAGACAAGAGAACATCGAATGGCGCACCTTTTTCAGCATCTGCTTTGCGATGGATGATGGCCCGTAGGGTGCTTCTTGCTCTTGTTGGTCGAGAGTGGTCTTCCGCTGTCTGCACATGCATAGAACGATTCATGCACCCGCTCGTCTAAGGCATGAGCCATGACAAGCTAATGCCCCAATAGCTGTCCACGGCATTCCCCGCACACACGAAGAGGACCTGGTGACATTGCTCACCAAAGACGTCTTTGCCTCTTCCCTTGGGTGTTTTTTTCCGGTGGATCCGTGGACCTGTGGCTTGGCGAGGAAGTGGCTCCGTGTGAGGACCATCACCCACAGCCTCTCGTCTCCTCTCTTTCAGTAAAGAATATCCCGTGGTTCCCAGGAGCACAGTCAGGCAGAAAGTCGCTTCCAGCCACAGTCCTTTCAGCAGCGAATCTCGGGCGCTGTCCACCTCGTCCAACCTGGGGACCCAGTACCAGTGCGAGAACGGCGTCTCCGGCACCTCCCAGGACCTTCTGCCCCCGCCCAACCCTTACCCCCTGTCCCAGGAGCACGGCCAGATCTACCACTGCACCAAGAGGAAAGGTAGGTGTGACAGCCCCTGCGAGGCTCGCCTCCCCTGCCGCTCGCTCGCTTCCTTTCCTTAGAAAAAAAATGTGTGCAGAAACGTATGTGTGTTTGAAAAATGAAACCGACACACCAGGACGTGGAGATGGCCAGAAATGCGAAGTGTGGCCGCTAGCACAGAGACCC